TTAGGCATGCAAAGATGGCAGCATCGAGAGGTGATTCCAGATTAAGGCCAGTTCGGATTTGGATAATAAATGCGCCTGTAAATGGTTCTCTCTTTGCGTGTTTTGATCCCGCGGGGGCTTCATTGGCTGCGCCATCTAGCGCTGACTTGAGTTCACCTTGTTCTACCTTCCATGCTTGACCATGCAGAATATGCCAGGCCCGAATGCCAAAGACATAATTTCCCAATGTTTTCCCTGCATATGCCCTGGCACAGCTCACAATGAAAGTGAGCATGGTGAGAGTATTAACGGGGCATCACTGATGTTCTGGGATGCTTCATGTGTCACAGAAGACGTGAAAAACTAACAGACCTGCCCCATATGATTCCCTCATGCCTTGTGCCCATGAGGAGTTCATGACAGTGAGAACTCGTTGTAGGTCATCATCTGTGATAGTGAGAATGTTTCCATCTGCATTCCGAATTGACCGACTTTCTGCTGGACACCAAAGCTTGAGTCGATCGCGAGCTACACAGTGTGGACACAATGAGGATATTGCTGGGGTGAGTCCTGCTTTGTACAATGGAGGTTTCGAAAGTGAGGCCACAGCTGTGATTGGTGTTGTGAAACGGGTGAGGTTCCTCTGCTTTTGTTGATCATGTCTCATGCTAGCTGGTCTGCAAGTCTCGTTTGATGCTACCAAAGAGGTTGTGGGAACGTTGGATAGTAGATGAACTGAAGATTCTGGACTGTTATGATCTGATTGCTGTGACGTCGAAGGGATCATAGATGAAACGATGAAGTGGTCTGGGAATGGGGATGGGTGCGAGGAGTAACTCTGTGTTGCCATAGATTCCTCGGGAAGGAGCATTGGCTGGATTGGAGTTACTGGTGACGTATGTTGGATGGAAAGAGTGTGTAGATGGTAAGCCGGATAAGAATTTGAAAAGTCGTTGGAAGACTTGGTTGATGGCTTTGTTACGACTTCTCCCATTCTTCCAGCCTTCGATGACCCCTTGGTTGTCTCCATAGACATGGAAGTGTCATTCTGGTCTATCCAAGGTACTAATGTGTCGAATGAGAAGCTCGAAGCCGACTGCTTCCACCCAACCGATATCTTTTTGTCCATCGAGAGTTGACCACCTGGGATATAACTTCCAAGCTCTCCACTTCTTCCCAATGATAATACCAATACCAATACCAGAGCTAGCATCCAAAAAAGCTGCTGCGTCGTATAGCGTGAGTGGTTTTGGGATGTTTTGACCAACGAAGTTGCTTTGTAACAGGTCTGTCCACCAATTGAGATCTTCTGCCAGGCCTTTGACCGGCCAATGAGGTAAGAATGGACAGTTAAGACAGACCCACAGCATAACCTCGAGGTTTGTGAGATATGCGCGGCCTTGTGGATAGACCAAAGAGACGTGAATGAGTTTACCATACAGCTTTTGTATGTCACTGAGAATATGTGAGACACGACCCTGCCATTCTCATACTGCGTTAAGATACTTTGACTTCTTTTCATTTGCGAGATAAACCAGATTGCATGCGAGATCCCAAGTAAAACCAATGTACAAGTTGGAATATGCGAAGTGGGCATCTTTCTGCGGTTCCCAAGGAATTCATGTGGTACGAGAAGATCGATCAATATCGTCGAAATTAAAGGTGAATGCACCGTCTTCTGGTGAACGCAGTGAGGCACTTGATAAATTGAGGATCGGAAATCTACAATCTTCATCAAACTCTTCAATCATCCCATCATCAAAAATGTGCCTGCCAAACCATATTCGGCTTTCATCTTGATGACTTCCTCTTTGGATAATTTCGTCGTGCCATTGTCTACACTGCTCATTATACTCCTCAAGGAATTCGGTTTGTATTCGAAAGAATAAATGGTCATCGACCCATCGCAACGTAGGACCAATGCCATGAGATCTAAAGATATCAAGTCCTGCATCTGCAAGGCAACCGTAAGCTCCAGCTGAGGGAGATACTCCAAAACATGTGCATGTGTTAATGCAGAATTGGTCATCGGAAATTCAGACCACAGCCCCTGGCCATTGAGAATGATGTAAAGGGATTGTGTGATAAGCTTCCGAAACGTCCCTTGTAGCCATCTGTGATCCAGGTGGTAGTCGACTAATGATAAGTGCAACTGTGTGGAACGTTCCCCAGGTACTGGGAAAATCGTCCAAATTAATACAAGAATTGATTGATGGATTAGGAAATCCGACTGAGGGTGCGTGTGGAAAAGAGTAGTCTTGTATGATGTGAAAACATCCTGGTCAGCCGGGCTTTGGAATAATAGAGAAGGGAGATGACTGGAATGGGCCAATGAGATTCTTGATTTCAGCTGCTGTGCATGGACCGATGTATCTATCTTTTTGAATTTTGGAATGGATAATGGACATGAATTCGTTCTTATAGATGAGGATGGAATCTTTATTCGGCGGAGTCTGAGTGGATGTAATAACAGGAAAATTAAGATTAAAGCCTCGACGAAGACCTTCAGGAATATGTGCATATCTATCAATGAGCCCCACTTGTGTAAGGCAAAGCTCCCAGGCATCCGCATCATATGGAGTGAGGGCTTCATGCTTTCTGTGCTCGAGAGCAAGTCTGTGCTCCATGAGAGGAGGAAGTACAACCTGAACAGATGTGTCGACGGTCATGAGTGGTTTTGCTGCATCCTGTAACTCGTTGCCAATCACTGCAAATTGGCCAACTGTCTCGCATGGTGAGGATTCTTCCGACTCGAACACATAGGGTGTCTGATGCCTGGTCCCACATTTTGGTTGCCTTGCATTCAATAATTTTGTGGCAGTGTCTTCCAAAGCAGACAGCGCAAGTGGATAGGGGATTTCCACTTGCGCTGCTTCGAAAATCCTGCCGCGAACATTTATTCGCCTCTGGAGATGGAGTGCATTCACATGAATCTTTGCCTGAATGTGGTGACTTTGAACGTTGACGTGAGTCTCGTGTCGAGTATCTATTGTCCTTGTTTCCATGGCTCTGATTATGCGAAGATCCTGTTATGAGAGCGTTGATCCTTTGATCCATCTGATGATGGAATCAGAGTAGAATGCAAGTGAAGCATGTAGTGGTAATGAGGCGTAATGTGTGGCATTGTCATATCCCGTGTTCCGGATCTGGACGTATCACACACATCATTTCCGGAAGTCCGGATCCGGCCGACGTCTATCTATGTCCGGATCTGACCCGCTGTAGAAACAACAATACAGGGAGGAACAAACAATGCTCCAAACTGTATCTGTAAATGTTGTGAGGTCGTGCGTTGCCTAGTCTGCTATACCTGAGACGACAAGTGCGTTCGACCCTAAAGGGGAAGCGAGTGCAGCAAGGATCTGGTAGTAGGCGCTACTGGTCGGCCAATGTGAGGCGCGGGAAAGTTGAAGGTACGCGCGCGCGTGAGCGGAAACAAGTGAGAGTAAGAGTGAGTTTGCTTAAGTGGTGATATGATGAATAACAAGAGATGTGAGTGCGAGGTGCCAAGGAATAGATTGCTACTATATTCTGCTAGGTAGTAGATGGGTAAGTAGGAGGTAAAGTCTAAGTTCGAAAGTTTTTTAATAGTATGTAATGCTGGCGCTTATATACGGCGCCTAAGCGCTGTCACGCGGAGCCGAAGCGCTACCGAGTAAGGTATGTAAAGCTATATGTAAGTAAGGGTCCAAATTAAGGGTGGAATGATACACAGATAAGAGAAATGGAAACATACGCACTAGAGAACTTGGTGGACAGTGGATGGATGCTTCCGGATGGCTGGCGCTATAGGGCGATCAAGCGCGGGAAAGCGCGGGAAAGCTGCGCCTCATATAGGGATAGCTGCAGATAGCACACAGAATGGTGCTGCAAGTTCGTGCAATGAACTCCCTAGTGACAAGTGCCATATCACACCATGAGAGGCATGAGTCTCTACACCGCGTCTAACTTCTGCGCCTTATCCCTTTGTACATTCCTACTCCAGTTAGACGATATCATTTTCTGTACCTCATTTCATTTCCGCCTTTATTTTCATCTGTTCTAATCTCCGGGTTCATTTACTATTTTCCGATAGACTAGTGTTTGACTTTTCTATACGCTCCGTCCACAGCTTTGTATAGCTTCAGACTGCGCGTCTCTGTTCTCCGATAAGTCCTCAGTAGTATATAAACCCTGTAGAATCTATGTACATCCTTAGTTCGAATATCATCTTAGACTCTGCTCATTCCCTCCTCCGTCCGACTTGAGTTTCTCTCTCGTCGACCTCCGCTCATCTTAGGATTGATTCCTATAGACTTGTCACCTCCGCCTCTACCTCTGGTAGTCCTCCGCTGTTTCCTTTCTAGTTCGGACTTCGTCTGGATTAGTCTTATCTCTTGTTCCCGAACATCCGCCAGAATTCCCGCGCATCGGACATCGGACTCCGGACATCGCCCGACGCCCTCCGGACATCGTCCAGTAACCTTCGGACATTGTTTGACAGCCCTCAGAAGTTAGGGGCACGTACTTGGGTAAGGGGCGCAGTGCACAAGCTGAAGCCAAGCCCTTCGGATCCGACCTTTGAGCACGTTCTTAACAGGCATGTGGCATGTAGCATGTGGCGTGCGGCGTGTGGCATATGGTAGAGGTTCAAAATCATTTCAATTCAATTCATAGATATATAACAAAGGAATGTAGATTGTTAGTGTATGATCATTTGGCTCTATGAACGAAATCCTGACCCTGTAATCGCACTGGTTGTCTTGTTTCGTACATTCGTCGAGGTAGAGATTAGATCTTGTATGCTCTAAGAGTACTTCATTAATTCGCGACAGATCATATGCTCCTGCCATAGACTTGACAGTGATGTGCCAGCGTTTTCGCTGCTCTGCTTGATAGACGAGCAGTGCCTTCTGCGCGAGGGGGTCACGCATTGAGTGAAAGTCATGGACCTGTAAGTTTCGCCAAAACATAGCCATCATCTTGACATGGTCCGCAGGCCAGGAAGCCTCTTGCATGGCTTCAATAATGCGTGGGCATGCTTAACAAAAGTCTTCAAATGTAAGGTGTCGATCATCAATAACAGCTCCAGCATTTTGCATTGAAGCTGCTGATACCCATGCTGTCTCTCCCCCTGCTAAGGTTACCATGACCATGGCATCTTCATCAATGGAGCTTTTGAGCTTCGCCTCATCAAGACCGGTGTTGGTGAAATACCAGAGTTCGACATAGTCTCCTTTGTCGAGTTTTCGAATCACATATGAAGACGGGATGATTACGGGTTTTGTAGGAACATCAAGGTCTGGAATGACAGTGTACTTGAACTTGTTCTTTTTCCTATCCTCCTTCTGTGCTGCTTCGTCCTCATCACAGTGGTCCTGTTTTTGTCTTTCTTGTTCCTCTTTGTTGAGTCTTTGTACGTGCTCACATCGTTCCCTGTCCTCTTCTACTTGTGCTCGCCATTGGGCCTTGGCAGCAATATTATCTGCTTGCCATATATTCCTAAGAACTATGATGGCTTGAGCCCCATTGATGTTCTCATTGGTAAGCTGAAGTCATGTGTTGACAAATGCGTCATCTGCATAGTTTGGGCAGATACTAAGATTCGGGTCACTGGATAGACGAGGCATATTTAGTGTAGAATGAACTAAGTTTGCTACCTTTTGTAAAGAAAGTGAAAGAACGAGTACTCCGACTATGAAACATTAAGTACAAGTAGTTTGGTAGTAGTAGTATGAAGCAAAGAAGAGATGTCCCAACAAGGACATCTGCCGCATAGACGACATTCTATGTTCGTCCTCGTTCCTTGGACTCACTTAGAACACAAACTGCCTTGGTGGTTGAGTATACACTTCAGATGACAACCTAGGATAGAAAGATACTTACATACCCATATTCCAGAGAGAACAGTCACTTATCTTTGAAAGGCAACACATCTAAAACAGCTGGTGGGAATGGCAGACCTGCAGGGGTAACACTCATGCAGGGGCAGGGACTCCTTAGACCAGCTAGTAGTGTCTGATATAAAATATATTACTGTAATGGATATAAATTGAATTTAACAAAGAAAAAAGGAGCCCTCTGTGGCTGACCTCACTGCTGCCTTGGTCTAATGTCTTTCTTGGTACCTCTTGCCGAGCAATATGATATATCTATAAGGAAGCAAGGAGGCAAAGGGGTTGTGAGACATGCTTACAACTACCAAAAGAGTCATTAGAGGCACCATTAATACCCTAGTGACCAGAGTTATAGTTAATATAAGTATCAGTGATTTTGGGAAGGTCTTATATAGCACCTGGCAGAAGTATCTTACACATACCTATCACATAGGTCAGTTTCCATAGGTTGTATACATAGAGTTTCAGATGTGAACCATATCTAATTGATATTTTGTACACCATTCTGATCTCACCAACATTGACTATTGTAGCAAAGCTACAGATATGTTCATGCCATTACAAGAGTTGAGCCATCTGAGCAAATAAAATAGGCCACAAATTGAAACATTGCATTACAACAGTTTAGATATAGACAAAAAACATTAGCAGTAAAAATGAGTATAATATATGGAGTGATGGAAAAGAAGCAGCACTAGAATGAACATCACTGATCCTCATTCCACAGGAGGTTGTTATGAATAATGGTCTACCACTGGGGACTGTTGTTTGTGAGGAGCTTAGGAACAACCATGTTACCAGGGAAATCAGTCAGGTCCTTTTGGAAATATTCTATGAGTATTCTTGGCAATAATAAGCAACAATATGTAAGTTTAAATCATGAAATATTTACTGCTGAAACATGGTTTCAATTATGTATGTGGGGAACAGTACCCTGATGATTGTCTACTACCTCCTGCTTGATAACTTTGTGAATGTTCTTGAACAAAGTATCAACAAAATTCTAAAATTTTCCTAAACTAAAAATGGTAGGCTTGCTATTGTCCCCAAAGCCAGAGTTGTTCTCAGCAAGAGCTCTACTATATGGAGTTGTATCAGGCTCCTTGTTATCCTTGGGCTCATAACCCTGGTCTGCATCATCATTATTACATAAATTATCCTCCAACCCTTTGGTACCATTAGCTAAATAACCATTGTCAATAGCTTCATTGCCAGCAGTTTCTGTATTGTGCATTTCCTAGCCTTCATCCTGGTCATACAGAACTTTTTCTTCACCTAACATCTCATACTCAATGCTGTCAATGTTGATGCCAAGCTTCAGTCCAATTCTAGCATGGACAGCAGTGTGAAGAGACAAAATAAGAAAAGGCAAATAAAGGTCCTTGAGTGAAATAGTCTTGTAGTCACTAATATTAATCATAAAGACATGTAAGCAGTGCCACTAACTATTGCAGATTATTATAACCACAATATCTAATAGTAGGATGAAAATGCACTAGAAATGCAAGCCTGTTCCAATGAGCTGAGTTAACCTTAATGGAGTCATGTGCAAGTGATTTTGCCATGTCCATAATGCTCATGCATCTGCAAATAGATGTGAGCAGCTGAGCAATCATTTCAGTGATTCTTGAGATAAACTTCCGACCATCATGTTATGTACTTTTTTTTGGTATCCTTGTTTATTATCTAGTGGGGCAGAGCCCTATAGTAGACAATACATACACTATTTACTGTTTCAGTTTGCGTCATTGGGTTGCGGTGTCTTTGCTAATGGTCACAGCATTAGTGAGGACGGTTATGTCTGTTGAGACATTTGAGGTTGGGCAGTGGACTGCAGTGGGTGGGTCTGTGCAGCTTTATTTGTTGTTGTCGCTATTCTTCTTGGAGAGAGAGACATCTCTCAAAGTCTGTTCAAGTCTTCTCATGCAGGCAATGTATTGGAATAAAGGTTTGATGAAGCTGTCATTGTTAAGAAGCTGGTGAAGTTGACTTATGCCAGTTCTAGCTTCTTGATGAAGTGCTGCACATTGTTGTGTGTAATGTGGGCATACAAGTAGGAAGTCCTTGACTGTTTCCTCATGTTTGTTGCATTGCAGGCAGCATGCTGTGGGAGATTTGGATATGCGGTGCAGATGTTTGTTGAGAGGGGTGTGTCCGGTGCAAAGCTAGAAGAGGAGCAAGCAGTGGTGGCAGGGAAGTCTTTGATTAGGTTTGAGAAGTGGCTAGATGGAGTGGATGGGTCTATGGTGTGCATTCTTTCATACTATGGCAATTGTTGCATTATTGATTTCGCCTCGCACTTGATCTTCATGTTGAACGTTTGCTTTGCTGTGCAGTAGCTTGATGGGGAGGTTTGGTCTGATTTGGAGTGATCTGGGGAGGAGGTGGCCATCTGAAGTGTCCCTCCTGGCTTCCCTTTTCGTGCATACGTCTGCGGCTTCATTCCCTGCTATGCCCTTATGGCCTGGAGTCCTTCTGATAGTGAGTTTCCTGCCATCTCTGTCTGGAAGGAGCATTCTAAGGTCGTCGTGGAATGTATTGATGAGGTAGTGACCGGGCTGTGATTGGAAGGCATTGGTGGCTCTGATTGCTGCCCGGTTGTCCACCCCAAGGGCCATTGTTCCTTCTCCTCCTGCCTCCCTCAACAGCTCTACCGCCGGGATCATACCCACTATCTCTGCCTCATACATGGTGTGTTCCCTCTCGCTTCCCAAGTGGAATATTCTCTCGCTGACTACCATGTTCCCTCTCATCAGAACTGCCGCCCCGCCTACTCCTCCATCCACTGCTGACCCGTCAGAGTAGACCCTCAGGTCCTCCTTGGCTTCGTTCTTCTTCCTCACAGCATCCTTCTCTCTCCTCGCAATGCTTATGGCTGTATCTGATTCCCATTTGGGGAAGTGGCGGACAGGTAGGATCTTCTCCATCTTTCCTGGGTCTATTCTGAACTCATTGAAGAGTTAGTGTAGCGGCGATGGGTGCCATTTCTGCTTTGTGAATTCCCTCTTTTTGCATTAATTGAAAGCAGTCTTGATGCCATTTGCCAGTGGGTGTGATTCTGGGAGGGTGGACATTCTGAGAGTCGCATAGTGGCAAGTTTTGCGCAGGGCTTGCTGAAAAGATAGGATATTAGCATGACTATCTAGAAGATCAGTTGCTAATGATCGAAACTGTTGGAAGAGTCGGTTTGGGGTATCACATGGTATGTTGGAAGATCGCGTTTGGAAGCGTCCACATTGGGACATTGGTGCCCATTGGGGCAGATTAACATAGTCATTTGGACATTCGGCGCAACCTCGCCACTTTACATTCAATCTCTGTTTCTTCATTCTAACATAAGTACTTTCATCGTTCTCATTTGAGTACCTCAGTCGTTGTTTCACAACACTGAGGTATGCATTCCCACTTTTCTTGCGCATAGCTTCATACTTACGTTGAACTACCTTAGCGTGTTTCCAACAGGTAGACTAGCATTAATATAGTCGTTGTTTCACAACACTGAGCATGTTTCCAACAGGTTATGAGCCCTGGTGTTCCAAATCGAACACACAAATTGGAAATTACAACTTCCTCTCGTTGAACGACTCAAACGTTTAACCTTATCGCAAGCTCCTCTGATGCGTCTTTCCCAGGATGGGAAAATATGACCACATTCCAGAGTTGACCGGTGCAGATAACTATATTCCCTGGGAGATGCAGGTGCAGCTTGTCTTAACCAACGATGACCTCTGGTGCCACGTTACAGAAATGGTAGATCCAAATGATATCCTCAGAACAGCCTCAACCTTGCCCGTCGCAGTCATTCCGGCGTCACCTACCGCTGCCGAGACTGCAGCCATACGTGCATGGCTCATTAATGATTCCAAGGTGAAGACCATTATTCTCTGTAAGCTTGCACCGAGCATTCATCTTCTCATCCCTCGTAACACTGCAGTCACATCGCGTGAAGCCTGGAAAATTCTTAGGGATCATTTTCACCGCAATGATGTCAGTTTCTCAGTTCGTGATCCGCAGGCGCATACAGGCACTCCACATGAAGGACGCTAACGATGCCAGAAACTATATTGGGCTGCACATCAGCTATTGTGATTGGCTCATTGGTATGGGCACTGCATACTCGGATGAGGAGGCTGTCTTCAATCTGTTAACCGGCTTACCCTCATCTCCTGCCTGGCAACTATTCCATACACAGTTGGAGCAACGTATGCACAATAGCTTCTCCGCAACCATAGTTAGCTCTTCAATCAGTAGTGGAGCCCCGATTTCGGCCTCATTTCAAATGAATAGCATTACCTTCGACAGTTGCATGTCATGCATCTCATCAGAAGCCACTCGCATGCTCAATGTTCAGCCCACTGCTACACCGGGCCCTGGGTCCGAATATGCCAACACTGTCACCACCTCCACTTCCAACGTCAATCCCATCACTGGACTCAGGAAGCACAGAAACAATCCCCAGGGTGTGTTTTGCCTAACGACTGGTTGCGGGTGTGGAGACCATGACAAGGATCATTGTTTTTGTGAGGGAGGAGGGATGGCGGGGCAAGCACCATGGCAGAAAAGGAAGAAGGAAATGGCAGCCGTTGCTGCAAATGTGAGCGCACCAACTTCATCCTCATCCTCCAATCAGCCACCTACTCCCATTGCTGCACTCGTCACGCACAGTGCTGAACCTCCATCCAATCATCAATGTGATCTCTCGTGCGCAAGCATTGAAGAACTTCCTAACGATCCCTCTGTCACCGGTGACATCTCAGCTCAAGCTCATGCACTGTCCACCATCCTTGACTCGGGGACCACTAGCACGCTCATCTGCGATCGCGCCATATTCTGGACCTATTCAACTCAAGATCCAGTCATTGTTAAGACTGCGAATCACGGGTCCCTCCCTACCTCAGGTTGTGGCAACTGCGTCGCATGGCTCAAAATTGGCGGTGCTCGCCATCATGTGCAACTCTCCAACTGTCTTCATGCGCCCGGAGCCATGTTAAACCTGCTCTCCGTTGGATGGATGTTAGCAAAAGGGTGGGAGTGCAATTTTCGTGGAGAACCTGCTCGGTGTGAGCTCATATATCCCTCGGTGTGCTACCTATGTCCGGCTGACTCTTTTACGTGGACCTCGAATTCATACCTCCTGATCAGCCAGTAGCTCTTGTTCAAGAGGTCTCTGCATTCGCCCGCACCCCTCTGACCTATGACATTTGGCATGCGCGAATGGGTCACACGGGAGGTGAGTCAGTGTGCTGTCTTCCTCACATTGCTCAGGGATTCTCTCTGGACTCAAACGAAGCCATGTCCCATTGTGAATCCTGCATCATAGGCAAGCACCCGCGCCAACCTCATCCCACATCTGAATCTCCACCAGCTTCTTGATTCCTTGAGCTGATCCACTCGGACGTCTGTGGGCCTCTTCCTGTTGAAACTCCTCATCACAAACGGTATTTCATTATTTTCCTCAATGATCACACGGGCATCCTCAACCTTCAACTCTTGGCCACCAAGGACCAAGCCTTGGATGCCTGGCGCACCGTTCGTGCATGATGGGAGAATCGTCCTGGCTTGCGGGTTGTCACCTTTTGTTCTGACAATGGAGGCAAGTTTCTGAGTGAGGTGTTTACCATACTTGTTCAATCGCACGGAGTCACGCTCCTTGCCCGCTGGTAAGACACCATACGAAATGCTTCACAAAGTCAAGCCAGATCTCACTCACATTTGCATCTTTGGCGCTCGCATCCCATCCAAACTCCAGGTAAAATTAGGTCCGAAGTCGAGGGAGGCTTACTTCATGGGCTATGCCCCAGATGGAAAGGCTTGGCATTGCAGGGACCGGGAGACCAGCGTGTTCTTTAATTCTCGTGATGTAATATTTGATGAGACATTTTCGGGTCATTCATTTCCCATGAACGATGATGACTCAGATGAAGAGGTGCCACCGGCGGTGGCACCTCTTCCTTCTTCCCCATCATTCATGCCCCCCTTATCCCCCCTTGCGCCTACTCAACTGACTGAAGCCCGTCGTTCTGCGCACTCACGACTACCTACAGCGCACGGGCAGCTTTTCCAGGACCAGATCGCATCTGACCGCGAGCGTCTTGCTCGTCAACAAGAGCTGTGTCAGGCACGTATCCAGGGGGTACCACCTGAAGGGGTGAATACGGTGCCTGCTGCAGGTGATGAGGCCGCCACTAACCTTGATCCTGATGCTATCGTTCCAGACCAGGACGAAGTCAGGTATCCTCGCATACTTGCCAACTTAATTGCGACAGAGTTTGCCTGTGTCACCATTCGCAGCGATGCTCGACGCAACCCGCTCACCTCAGACTACAACATGAGAATCCTGCCTGCCACATTCGACAAGGTGATGCAGCGCTCTGACCAGGACCATTGGTTAGCAGCGATGAGGAAGGAGATAAACCTGATGTCCGAAATGGGCGTTTACGAGTTGGTGAAGTTGCCAGAAGGGAGGAGAGCAATTGGTTGTAGATGGGTGCTGGAATTCAAAGAGGATGACAAGGGAGGTTCTGTGCATAAGGCACGTCTTGTAGCCCAGGGCTTCTCGCAGGTGCCAGGAATTGACTTCGGTAAAACCTTCGCTCCTGTGTCACGGCCATCATCCATTCGCCTCCTCTCAGCGTACGCAGCAGCCAAAGACTGGGAACTTGACAGCTTCGACGCAAGGCGCACGTTTCTGTGAGGAAAGTTACGCGAAGACGTCTACATGCGTCAACCGCCTGGTTTCAAGCAACTTGGTCGCGACGGAGCAAGTCTGGTGTGTCATCTACTATCCTCACTCTACGGGCTGAAGCAGGCCACATACGATTGGTATGAGTTGCTGCGGGCAGTCCTTGTCCATTTGGGATTCACTCGTTGTGAGGCTGATTACGCTGTCTTTATCTATCATTGCGTCACCAATGAGGGGGTGCATGTGATCTGCATCATCGCATGGCACGTGGACGACGGCCTTGCAGGCAGCAACAGCTGAAAGTTTCTCAACTGGATCAAAGGCCATATTGCAGAGCGCTTCGGAATCACGGACTTGGGTCCAATCACCAAGCATCTGGGCGTTCAATATGTTTGTTCCCATGCCACACGAGAGCTCTGGATGCATCAGCAGGATTATATAGTATATCTTCTCGAAGAGCATGATCTTTGCGAATGCAATCCGGTTTCTCTTCCAATGGATCCATCCTTCCCTTTTGGCCGCTGTCCTGCATGATATGGGAATCATGCATGGACATAACTACTACTAGGAATAACCCTCAAAAAGATTGTGTCTGTTAGCACAGTCCTCAGACTAGTCACCCCATACCTTGGTATCAAACCTCGGTCCTATATTTCAAGTTTTATATGGAAGAAAAGGAAAAAGTCATATGTGAAGTAAAATGAAGGTTAAGGTATTACCTTACCTTTGGCTTATTCACTTTGGCTAGAGAAAACCATTGAGAAAAGCTCAAAGCCTAACAAAAACCTATCTAAAAAGCCCGTGTCTGGCATATTATATTTGTATCATTGTTTCTATCTTGTTTTCTCTAGCATTGTTCTTTTATTTTCTTTTATTTAGGATGCTATGACCTACCAGATACTCCAGAAAATATTATTTCTGAGTATGATGTCATAATGATGTCATATAGCTCCACAGAAAAGTTCTAGACTATTCTGTTGGAAATTATGATGTAATGTATGAAGTCATAATGATGTCATAGGCTCTAGAATATTCTAGCTCCACTATGATGTCATCTCTGATGTCATTGCTCCATCTTTTATTTGTATTTTATACTTTTATTGGGTTTCACCCAATATTCTGATTGGTTCTCTCTTTATTTTATTGTTTGCAAACCTACATTACTTTCCCACACAAAATGTATATAAGGGGAGCCCATTCTCCCCCCAAAAAAATAGAGATCCCTCTTCTAGGAAATTTTCTTCTCAGAGAAACCCCCTCAGTTGAACAAGACATCTCACTTGTTAAGATCTCCCACTTGTAGCAGAGCAAGTGCAGGGAAACGTATCCCTTGAGAATACAAGTTTCTTACGATAAGAAGCTTACATTACTGTTTATTTGACCAACCAGTCTTTGGTCCACGTGATTTTAGAGACCGTTGTCTCTCCTGTTTTACTGTTTATTTGACCAACTTGTGCCTTGGTCAACGTGATTATTCTTGAGACCATTGTCTCACCTGTACTATTTGTGCCTATTTGACCAACCAGTCTTTGGTCAACGTGATATTACAGAGACCCCTTTTGTCTCTACTCCTATTTTGTGCCTATTTGACCAACTCGTGCCTTGGTCAAATCTACCCAGTTCATTTCAGTGCCTAGAACGTGCAATCTAGGCAAAGCTATTTGTACTTCAGACCACAAGTTCTGAATCTAGGTAGCAAATCCTAGACAAAGTAATTGGAGGTACACATAAAAGCTCTGGCTAAGTTGATCACCTGATTGGTTTAGCGAGCCTCCCAAGAACTCACACGTTATCTACCACAAAAACTAGAAAAGTCGTAGACTGTGTTAATCGAGGACTGGCAAGAAGTCTTATCCAAGTGTAATTGTGGTGTCATTACATTCTTACACACTTTATATAAGACCCTCGGTTATTAAGACACCGTGACACAGATGTGCACCCTAATGTTGACAACCTTGAGACAGAGTGTCGCAAACTGATTGGGGAACTCCTCTACCTCACAATGTACACCCGTCCTGACATCGCCCTCGCCGTCATGAAACTCTCCCAGCACAACGCCAATCCTGAATTGTGTCATTACGCCGCAGCAAAACATGTCCTTCGCTACCTCGCTGGCACTCTCTCTTACCGTGTGCACTATGGAGGCACAAACACTGATACCACTGTTCATGGGTTCAGTGATGCAGATTGGGCCACGTCCCCAGAGGACCGCATTTCCATCACCGGCTATGTCTGGTACTTCTATGGCGGTCCCATCTCACATGCGGCGAAGAAGCAAACGACTCAGGCATTGTCGTCGGTGGAGTCAGAGTATATGGCACTAACGGGTGCCATCCAGGACAGGCTCTGGATTAAGTCCTTCTGCAAATGCTTGAAGATTCCACTTACCCTCCCACTCCACCTCTATGCCAACAACACCGGTGCCATCGCATTGTCTGAAGAGGCAGCTAATCACACTCGTATGAAACACATTGACCTGCGATATCATTTCATCCGAGGGCACATCGAAGCCGGCACTTTCTTGCCCATATGGGTATCAACTCACCGCAATAGTGCGGATATATTCACCAAAGCTCTTCCGTGTCACACATTCGCTATTCACCACTCTGGTCTCTCACTCGTAGCAGGTTGAGGGGGTATGTTGGAAGTATATGTCGCAGTAGCAGGTTGAGGGGGTGTGTTGGAAGAGTCGGTCCGGGGTATCACATGGTATGTTGGAAGATCGCGTTTGGAAGCGTCCACATTGGGACATTGGTGCCCATTGGGGCAGATTAACATAGTCATTTGGACATTCGGCGCAACCTCGCCACTTTACATTCAATCTCTGTTTCTTCATTCTAACATAAGTACTTTCATCATTCTCATTTGAGTACCTCAGTCGTTGTTTCACAACACTGAGGTATGCGTTCCCACTTTTCTTGTGCATAGCTTCATACTTATGTTGAACTACCTTAGCATGTTTCCAACAGGTAGACTAGCATTAATATAGTCGTTGTTTCACAACACTGAGCGTGTTTCCAACAGAAACCCCTCTATTATGATCAAGGTCGCCATCCTTTGGGTGTGAGCCATTAGTGAAGCGAAGCTGTGTGCTCCCTGTCCTCCTTGCTTTCCTCTTCCCTTTGCAACCAGCACAGAACACCATATGTCAGCGGCATAGAGCATTTTGGGAAGAATGACGCTATTATACAGTCACTTCATCAGACATCTGTGAATGCCCTTCATTGGTTGCCCTTGGCCGCAGCATAGGCCACATGCTCTTTGAAGTTCAGGTCTTGGTTGAATATCACCCTTAGGAACTTGTGCAATTTTGACGGATAGATGGTGTGACCTTGTATAACAATGGGCAGCCATGGGGTGGGGATGGTTTTGCATTAGTTGTCTGCACTGGGGATGTGTTGCTTTGACAAGCAAATGAGTGCTGTTTTGTCGAGCTCAAATTCGGTATGGTATGAGCGGCTCCATTCTATGGCTTCTCTGTCATTTTCCATCATCTAGAACCCTAGACTTAGTTCACCTTTGCGGGGGTGTGGGTTAGCAATTCCCAACACATCAGAGTTATAAAAGATGAAGCCTAGCAGAGAGAGAGGACATCCTTGGTCAATGCCTCCTGTTACATTGAACACCTCTGAGCGGTAGTTGTCAAAGATGAGACTTGTTTTCTGGTTGTTAAGTCTGTTCTTGTACCATTCGGTATACTCTCATAAGATTCCTAGTTTGCGTAGGTTGTACATGAGTCTTGTTACTATGCTTGGAAATGCGGCTTTGACATCAAGGAACAGGAGCGAGATGAATTTGTTTTTTGATGCCTAGGAATCTGTGATAAACTTGGTTAGTAGAGGAAGCGAGTCCGTTGTTGAGCGTCCTGGTTGGCCCCCAAAGTGTGTTGACAGGAGTAGGTTATGCTGCTCTGCTAAGTATGTCAGATCATCAGCTACACAGGAGGACAAGATCTCAGCCATGGTATTGAGCAGTGTTGTTGGGCAATAAGCTTTTGGGACGCTGTAGTCTGGTCGTCCTGGTTTCCATAATACAATGATTGTCGATTGTTTCCAGGCTTCTGGATAGATGCCTAAGGAAAATGTCACTCAGAATATAGGTGCTAAGAAGGGAACTAGCAGGTGTGCACTTTGCTTGAATACTATATTGCTAATTCCATTTGGTCCCGGGGCCTTGTTTGGTGAGAGGCAGGCAATTTCTCTGTGTACTTGTTGGTCGGTAATTGGGGAAAACTTGCTTATTGGGGGGGGGGCATGCATCTTCTTCATCTAGGAAGTCATTAGCTGGGGTAGGACAGAAGAATACTTCATAGAGCAATTCACTCTTTCAGGTGTTGTCCTGTGTCATGGTTCCTGGGGGCACTGTTGGATCTTGGAGGGTCTTGATGCAAGTGTGAATTTGATCCATTGGGTTGCTTACTGTGTGCCTATGAAATGACTACATGTCTGAAAGTGTTAGTATTTTGAGCCATTCCCTCCAGTGATCCTCTTTCGCCTTCTTGATACTCTCTAAAAACTTGTTCTGTGCTATCTGGTACTCCTCATGGATTGGGTCCCTCCTGCTTGATAGCCTTGCATGGGACTTACGAGCTTTTTTGTGAACTGCCTTGCATTCCTTATCTAAGTCCTTAGACTACCAGCATTTCGAATATAGCAAAGGTTTGGTCTTGGGGATGCACTTGTTGACTGTCTCCTCTATGGCGTTGGTGAGTGCTTTGAACGCTTGGTGGAACTGGTCCGCTGATGTGATGTCTACTAATGGTGGTAGATGGTTGAGTTGAGTAGATAGTTTTTCATTGAAGTTTTCCCAGGAGACTTGGCAGTAGTTGAGTTTTGGAGGAGGAGAGGAGCATTCTGGACAGAGGTCGAAGGAGCTGATGATCGGAAAATGGTTAGTGATGACGGGTCTAAAGTGATACTCTACCTTGCAGTATTCAACTGCTTTTGCTAGTTCTGGGGAGCAGAATACATTATCTGGGCGGATTAGGTTCTTCGTATTAGATGCCTCTAGAGTGGTGATTGCTGAGGGTAGTACTTGTACAAGATCATATGTTGTGAGTAAGTTTATTAACAGGCCTGTGGTATCCAAGTTGGCTGCCATGAAGAGGTGAGTATTATGAGGCAGCTCCCACATGGAGTGGTGACGGTTGAAGTCTCCTAGCCATATTAGATGTTCGTGAGTGTGGTTCTGTCCGCCTTGAGCGGTTTGAAGTATGTTACATTGGGAGGACATGTGTCTCTTCAGAAAGTGTACAGTATGATCACTATTACATGAGTTGTAAATATTATATATACACACCTTGCCGAATGTCCTAGTGAGCTCAAGGGCCATTATGTTTGGTGATTTGATGGGTATTATGTGCCAGTTGTTTTTGATGGGTGTTTGTTCACTAGCATTATAACTTGAGTGCAGTTTGGAGAAGTGTGTGGTGGTCGGTGGGATATAGCACATCCCAGTAGGTCTTGAGGTTCGATGTGTTGGCTAGGTTGATGGGGTTGAGGTATGGTTCTTGGATGCATGCTAGGTTGAATTTGTTCAGATCCAGGCTCCTTAGCATGTGTTCCCATACATAAGATGACTTCCTGAGGTTTTGTTGCCAGATTCTGAAATCTTCTTGAGGCAGGTTGTTGTTTGGTATATTAGACATTAATTCCATCCTGTGGTGATTTGTGCACTGTCGGTGATTAGTATGTCGTCAGTTGGAGGGGGGTAGGGAACCAGTATCTGGTGGAGTCGTGCATTGATGAGGGCAGAGAGGAGAAGTTGCCGTGTTGCTGGTCGTACTAGGGTTGGTTTGTCCATGTATCAGTGAGCTAGATTTGCATTTGGGATCTGGGGCCTAGTGGGATGTTGTTCGGGTTTTGGGGGTTTTCACGTTGTTGGTTCTGTCGTTTATGGTTTCCGACTGTATGCCATTCTTGGTGGTTATGCTGGGGTGGCAGGTATCTCTCATTCTGCTGTGGGGGTTGATAATGGTTAGTGAGATTTGGGGCTGGAGTGTTTGTCCAGTCTGTGTAAGCATTGGGCACAGGCTCCCAGGTCAGTGGGTCCTCAGTTGGGAAATAGATGTACTTGGCCTCATTGTTCCTTTTCTTGTGGGATTCCCATTTCTGAGTGAATATGGGGCATTCCCTGCTCCATGCGGCATGTCCCTTTTCCTTACAGTTGGCACATGAGTAGGATGTAGGCTCAGTCATTTCGCAATTTTGGGTGCGATGGTCTACCCCACATGTGCCACAGGTGTCATGTGTTTGAAGGCATTCTGCTGCAACGTGGTTGCCATCAAAAAATTGGCACTTGAGACATCACGTTGGTTCTGGTAGCAGTTTGTGATTGTACACATTTTTCCCCACTATTGATAGGCCGAACTTGATAGCCTGGTTGGCACCTTCTTTTGTAGTGAACGTTACGGCCATGTGCACCATGCATTGGTTGAGGTTGCGTCTGGCTATGGGTTTTATGTACCTTGTCTTGATAATTGATCATGGAGGGAGTCCTGTCTTTTTCTCTATATTTGCTATGGCTGCAGGGTTGTCCGGAACAAAGGAGACTGGGGCATTTTCCATTAAGATGTGGTATGACCTGTCTTTGATTATAACATTAGTTCTGTAGAATTCTAGGAAATTACTCTTGTTGGCCATGATGTTGAACCATTCTGCTGAGGTTTTCAAGTTGAGTTCATAAAGTACCCCGCCGTGTGGGAGTCTCCTCACGGATATAAACAATAGTTCCTTTGGGTATTCTATGTTCCAGTGTTCTATTAGTTCCAAGGCCATTGCTGCCTTTGATAACAATTGGGCCTCCATTAAGTCCTTGAGGGAGTTAGGCGAGAGTATGGATCTTCTATCAATGAGGATTTGGCGTGTTTGGGCTTCGCTTCAAGCTAAGATTCTGGTTAGTTGGGTAGGTGTGCCCACCTTAGCTGCCTCCATATAGGTTGATGGTACATCAGACCTCCTGGTTGCAGCTTGGCTATTGGCTTGTTGTTGATTGGACTTTTGTATGGCCACTACCATTGCCTTCTCTATTCCTTCGGAGGTTAAGTTCACTTGATCACGCACCTCAGTTGTTGTTCCTTCAAAAACTGCTTTGTGCGTTGTTGTGAAATCCGATAGCGTGTTAACATTTGCCTCAAGTGTCACGATTAGTCCTTTGACCATAGCCTCAATTTTGTTCAGTACTTGCTCTATATCGCATGTTTGACTTGCTTTGTGCAGTAAGAGGGCTAGGGCCCTCAGTATCTCTGTTTGGATGACACCAGTGTTGGGTGTGAGACTGAGTTCATATAATGCTGATGTTATTTCCTTGAAGACATTTCCTGCTGCTGGAAGTGTCATGCTGTGGGTGGTGAGTAGCTTCCTGGCTGTGGTTGTGCTATTGATATCTGTTCGTATTCCTGTGCCCTTTGTGTGGTCCTCCAAACTCTTCCTGAAGGTTAGGAGAGGTTTGCTTGCTGTAGTTTTGTGGCTCACTTGTGCATTCGTTCCAACCGTGGGAACCATGAGAGTTGGGCTTGTAGCACCACTTGGTGCCATCTAGTGAGCTGAGTCTAGGGACTGTTTTGGGTGTTTATTAGTTTTCCAGAAAGAAGAGAGAAAGGAAAAAAAAAAAAAGGTAAAATAAGGCTGTTTGTGATGCTATTGGGTGCAGAATTGACTTGGAGTTTTCCGGGGTCCTAGTCGGGGTGCCACTTGGTACGGGTCCATTATGTACTTTGTTCTTTATGTTACCATCAATCAATGAAAGCAGCTCACTGATAATTTTGCCACTATCACAGTCAGCTCCACATCCTCAAATAGTGATGGCAGAACTTTGAATACACCACTGTTGTCTTTTATGAAATTTTGTCACAGTGTTATTTCTTGTAAAAGAGTCACCATAACTCAAAGAGGGTCACCATGATGTGAGAATGTGTGTCCATCACATACATGGTAATGTTTGGCAAGAGTGGACATGCTATCAAGTGATTTTGGAGTGTGAACTGTATAACACAATTAACCTGGCAATTTGTTAAGAACATGCTCAAGGGTCGTATTCGAAGGGCTTGGCTTTAGCTCGTGTGCTGCACCCCTTACCTGAGTATGTGCCCCTAACTTCCAAGGGCTAAAGGACAACATCCGGAGTCCAATGTGCGGGAATTCCAGTGGACATTTGGAAACAAGTGATAAGACTTATCTGGACGAAGTCCAAACTAGAAAGACAGAGGAGGACTACCAAAGGTAGAGGCAGAGGTGGTAAGTCAATAGGAGTTGATCCTAAGACTATCAGAGAACGATGAGAGGAGACTCAAGTCGGACAGAGGAGGGAATGTGCAGAATCTAAGATAATATTTGAACTAAGGAAATACAGAGACCTTACAGGGTTTATATACTACAGAGAACATAATGGAGAATCAGTCAGCACAGTGTGAGGCTATGAACGGAGCATGTGGGGAAATGAAGAAGGTACAGAAATTAAGTATAGTCAGTTATAGGTATAACTGGATGACCGGAAACAGGCGCTAACTGAGAAGGGACATATGAAAAGGGAAAAGATCTGGAAGATAGAAGCTGACCGGTGAAGGTGAGGAATCTTGACTATAGGTGAAAACACTAAAGACTAATGGGGACTCTACAGTAAGACCTGGATACAAGAATATGACTCGACCCAAAGGACAGCTACTGAGAGAAGTTCCATGCTAATAAAATGGAAGGAAACCCTGTCAACTAGACAGGCGCTAGTAGGCGCGAATGTGCGCATGAGCAAGAGGTGCGAGGGTTGTGTGCATAAGTGAAGGTGCGCCTCGAGCAATAAGGGAAAGAGTCATCAAAGAATAGCAGAAGCGCGGGTGATAGTTGATAGAAGTATAATCAGATTTCTAGCACTTCCTTGTGCTAGCCTGTGCTTTTCCTGTGCTTCACTGTGAAAACAACAATCTTGCTAGGTGGCAAGGTCAAGCTATGCCTAGCTGCTATGTCTAAACAGACACATTCGATCCTAAAGAGAATTGCTACTACTAAAATGATGATGAATGTGTGCGACCCAAGAGTGCCTAAGCACAGCCTAGTCTGCTATACTTGCAAGACAAGCATGTTCAACCCGAGGGGTTAGCTATTTGGTATTAGAATATTTAGTTATATGAAAAGAAAGATAGTCTGAGTGTGGGAAACAAAGTTCAAAGGTAGTATAATTATGATGTCCAAAGGTAAAAACGTCAGGTCCAATGTTTTTGGGTTTTCAGGTTACATCGGATTAGGTCAGGAATGTGTCAGAAAGTTAGGGAATGGTGGAGATAGCAAATGTTGGATTACTGTTTGTGTTTTCTGATAAAGAATGGATGATATTGCAGAATTCAGCGAAGAACCACAAATATCAGATGACCTTCTCCTACTCAGAGGTTGATAGGTAGATAAGTAAGTAGGAGATATGCAAAATATATAGTGTCTATGTAGAATTTCAGAGCACTATAGGCAAAAGTAGTAGCAGTAATTTTTCGGTCTGATGTCCTATGTAATAAGACATGTGGTACTGCAGACATGTAATAACATAGTCTACAGTGTTAGCGACATGAAAGCAAATAACTGTGCACCTAGTGCGAATAGATATGACAGGACAGGACATAGGAAGAACAAGTGCATGGGAAAATACTGGGTCCAATGCAGCCTAAACATTGGGTTTATTAGATTAGTGTTGGATTTAGCAGATAAACATTGGATTGAGCAGGTAAGTGTCAGATAACATTAGAAAGTGATTCATGTACAACAGGTGTTTGACTAGGCTCCTACCCATCCGCAGCCGGAGAGGTTAGAGGACGGAGTGCTATTACATCTATGTTATGTTACATCAGCGTGAAAATTTAAACCCAGCCCAACCTTATTCCTCAACCTCTCCAGCAGCGGCTGGAAGAAAACATTTGTAAACAGTCTCAGCCACAGCGGCAAAAACCTGCGGCAATTGAAAAAAACTGAAAATCAAGTAGGTATATGTACATTAATTAAAATATAATATTCCATTTGAGCACTTAGTTGTCACATGTCAGAAGCCCCTAGTGTCATATCCCATATATTCACGCTTCTCTTCCGGACTTCGGACCCTTAGATCCGGTCCGGTCCGATGCATAGATCCGCGTCCGGTCCGATATCCGATTAGCTTCTTAATTCATTTCCCGTTCATATAACGTTAAACACAGCCTATTCGGTATTTCCTCTTCCCGGTGTCTCGGTTATACTTATTACCGGTATGATTACTGATCCGTTATCTTATGCTTCATTTCCAACTCGCATTTGATAAGCTTTGCATATGCTTCGTACATAGCCTCGGACCTTTGCTTATTGATCCTTCCGTTATCCTCTTAGTATATAAACCCGTGTATATTTCCTGTAGTACCTCAGTTCGAATATCATCTTAGTTTGTCCTCTTTCTGTCCTCCGGACTTGAGTCTAATCAACTCTTGTCGACCTCTGAGACTTCGGATCGATTCCGATAGTCTACGTCTCCGCCTCTATCTTCGGATAGTCCATACTCTGTTTGTTTCTAGTCCGGATCCGTCCGGATTAGTCTTATACGTGTTTCCGATATCCGGAAGTCATCCGGATATAACTACGAGACCCGTCCGGACCTTCGGACGCATTATCGTTAGTCTTTGAAATAAGGGACAGTACTTGGGAAAGGGGCACAGCATACGAGCTGAGGCCGAAGTCCTTCGGATCCGATCCTACGAGAGTACGACCTTAACAGTATATTCGAACTCACACCTTTCCAAGTACACTTACTCATATCATGGCTCCTACTAAAGTAAACCAAGCCGCTCTGCACGCAGTCGGACTCTCATCCAGCCGACGCGATCCAACCTCCATAGTTAACGCCTTCACCAGTTTCTCGCAGCGCCGTGTCTCAAGCGTTCCTGCTCAAAGTATTTCTCAACTCTTGAATCGTCCGCATCCGGTGACTCCTACGCCTACGCGTACTGCCGCTGGAGGACCTCCGGATGATGAAGGACCCGACGATGAAGACCCTCCGGATGATTTCGGAGGTAATCCGGATGATGATCCGGACGATGACGACGAAAATGACGGACTAAACCCACAAGACCACATCATGCTCCGGCTTTCCGAAGCCATTGACAATCTCGCACGCAACAACCGTCGTCCCATCTCGTCCGAAGATTCCAAAGTCAAGATCCGCGAACCCGATACTTTCGATGGCACTGAGCCTCGGAAGCTTCGTGCATTCTTCGTCCAATGCGAGCTTCATTTCCAAAGCAAACCCAAGTCTTTCCGTACCGGACGGGCTAAAGTCAACTTCGCCCAATCCTACCTTAAGGGTATGGCACTCGAGTGGTTCGAACCGGACCTCCTATCCGATGAGGACGATGATCGTCCAGATTGGATGGATGATTACTCCGCGTTCATGTTAGAATTACAAACCAATTTCGGACCTCACGATCCATCTGGTGACGCGGAACAACAACTCGAACAACTTCACATGCGTGACGGACAACGCATTAATAAATATGTTGTTGAGTTTCAGCGTCTTGCTTCACAAGTCCGTGGCTGGGGTGACGGTGCCCTAAGACGCCAATTCTATAACGGACTTCCGGCTCGTATCAAAGATGAAATCAGTCGCATGGGTAAGCCTTCTACCCTTTCCGAATACAAGACCCTTGCCCAGACTATCGACGCACGATACTGGGAACGGAAGGGAGAAGTTGCCCGCGAAACCAAACCCACCACCTCCAATCCACCTAAGCAACCCACTTCGGACTGGACGAATTCCAACCCGTCCGGATCCGCGAGATTCAAATCCGACAAACCCGCTACTTCCGCATCCTCCTCCACCTCTAAAGCTCCGGACCTTACCTCCAAGTTAGGAAAGGACGGAAAGCTCACGTCCGAAGAACGTAAGAGATGGATGGATAATAAACTCTGTCTATTCTGCAGCGGACCCGGCCATTCGGCTCGGGAATGCACCAAGTCTACTTCGCGCGCTGCCAAAGGCCGTGCTGCAGTAGTCACTCCGGAAGACAAACCGGAGGCTTCGGATGAAGCAAAAAAATAGTCCGCAACCCTCCTGACTCCGCACGGGATGATGGTTGCGTTGACTCTACCCGTGCAACGGAGCTACGTCTCAACGCTGTTTCTCTTTCCGATCCGAACTCTCTATGTCCATACATTTCTCTTCCTACTTTTCCTGATATTTCCTCGTTTCCTTCTCTAATAGATTGTGGTTCCTCACATTGTTTTATAGACTCTGATTTCGTCCGAAAAAATAAAATCCCTACATATCCGATACCTCCGCTTTCTCTCCGGTTGTTTGATGGTACTTGTAATAATATGATTTCCGAAGCTATAGATTTGCCCATTCGTTTTCCATCCGGTGTAGTCACCTCCGATACGTTTTACGTTACTCCGTTGGATTCTTCTTGTTTTATCGTTCTAGGATATAGCTGGCTCACCCTACACAATCCGTTGATTGACTGGGTTTCGGGCAGCATCGATTTCCGAACGACTTCTCATGGAATGCCTTCGACACCTCCGACGTCGCTTCCGTCTCCGGATACCCCTCCTCCGATGGAAGATTTACCTCCTCCGACTACATCCGGAACCTCCGCTGATAAAACCATCCCCAATATTTCCTTGATAAATGCAGTTGCCTTTTGCCGGGCCTGCAAATTGGAAGGATCAGAACAGTTCAGCATCTACCTTCGTCCGACCGGTGTAGACCTCCGGTCCGCTACCCTTTCGTCCGATCCTCCGGACCTATCCGGAATTCCTCCGGAATATCATGAATTTTCGGATGTGTTCGATAAAGGCAAAGCTAGCCAACTTCCTCCTCATCGTCCCTACGATCTCAAAATCGAGTTAGAGGAAGGAACTAGTCCGCCCCTCGGAACCATTTATTCTCTATCTGCAGTTGAGCTTGCAGCCCTCCGGAAGTTTCTTGATGAAAACATTTCCTCCGGACTCCTCCATTCCTCATCCTCTCCTCACGGAGCTCCCGTCCTGTTCGTCAAGAAAAAGGATGGCTCCCTTCGCCTCTGTGTAGATTTCCGTGGACTTAACCAGATTACCAAAAAAGACCGATATCCGTTACCCCTCATTACCGACCTTCTAGACTCTCCGAGCCGCGCTAAAGTATATACCAAAATCGACCTCCGATCCGCTTATCACCTTGTCCAGGTAGCGGAAGGAGACGAATGGAAAACTGCTTTCCGAACGCGCTATGGCTCTTATGAATGGTTGGTGATGCCGGAAGGTCTCACTAACGCTCCGGCCGCATTCCAACGCTTTGTCAATAGCGTGTTTGCTGATATGCTGGATGTATGTGTTATCGTATATCTGGACGACATCCTCATCTATTCCCAAGACCTTGCATCCCATAAGGAACATGTCCGAGAAGTTCTCCTCCGTCTCCGAAAACATCGACTCTATGCTAAACCCGAAAAATGCGCGTTCCACACCACATCCATTGAATACCTTGGTTACCTCCTATCTCCGGACGGCTTGACCATGTCGTCCGAGAAGGTCCAGGCCATTGTCGATTGGCCGGAACCTCGGAAAGTTAAGGATATTCAATCCTTCCTCAGATTCGCAAATTTCTATCGTCGATTCATTTTCAATTACTCGGATATCGTAGTTCCGCTCACCCGTCTTACCCGCAAGGGGGTTACTTGGGACTTTTCCGATGATTGTCGGAAGTCTTTTGAAACACTCAAGAAAGCTTTCACGTCCGCTCCGGTGCTTACGCACTGGATTCCGAATGTTCCGATAGTCGTAGAAACTGATGCCTCTGATTATGCTATAGCCGGTATACTTTCCATAGTATGTCCGGACTCAGAGCTTCGTCCGGTAGCCTTTTATTCCCGGACGCTTACCGCTCCGGAACTCAACTACGACACTCACGATAAGGAACTTCTAGCCATCCATGAAGCTTTTCGGACGTGGCGACATTACCTTGAAGGCTCTGCCGAGCCGATAGACGTTGTCACGGACCACAAGAACCTTGAGTACTTCTCTACCACAAAACTCCTCTCTCGCCGTCAGGCCCGCTGGTCGGAATTCCTCCATCAGTTCAATCTCGTCATCCGTTTCCGTCCCGGAAAACTCGGAGCTAAACCGGATTCCCTTACTAGACGCTGGGACGTCTACCCTAAAGAGGGGGATAAGGACTACGCTCGAGTTAACCCTCATAATTTCCGTCCGGTATTCACTTCGGAACAGTTAGCTTCATCCCTACGAGCCTCAACCTTAGCAACTCCGGTTCTTAGGGCAGCCGTTCTGATAGATATCGATCAGCTCCGGAAAGACATCCTGACCGCACTTCCCAAAGACCCTATCGCGTCCAATCATCTTCCGGAACCTTCGGATCCGAGATGGACGGTAGACGATAGTGGTTTCCTCCGCTGCGACAACCGTATATATGTTCCGGAATCCAATAACCTCCGACTTCGCGTCCTCCGAAATACTCATGATCACCCCTTGTCCGGACATTTCGGTCAAAATCGGACACTAGACCTCATCCGACGCGAGTATACTTGGCCAGGAATACGTACTTATGTCAAGGACTATGTCAAGTCCTGTACTACCTGTGGCTGAGCTAAGGTTCCGAGACATAAACCATACGGATTGCTAAAGCAGTTACCCATACCGGAAAAACCTTGGAATTCCATCTCCATGGATTTCATAGAGCATCTTCCAGATTCATCCGGCTTTACAGCCATCCTCGTCGTAATAGACCGTCTATCGAAACAAGCCATATTCATCCCCACCCACGACACCATTACCTCTCCGGACCTCGCTCACCTGTTCGTCCTCCACGTGTTTTCCAAGCACGGAGTTCCATCCCATGTCACTTCGGACCGAGGGACAGAATTCGTATCGCATTTCTTCCGTTCCTTAGGAAAAGTGTTAGATATGGTCCTCCACTTCACGTCCGGATATCATCCGGAAGGAGACAGACAAACCGAACGAGCCAACCAAACCCTAGAACAATATCTCCGGATATACTGCAACTATCAGCAGGATAACTGGTCGGAACTACTTCCTTTGGCAGAATTCGCTTATAATAACGCTCCGAGTGCCACTACCGGAGTATCACCCTTCTTTGCCAATAAGGGATATCATCCGAACCTGTCCGTTCATCCGGAACGTGATCTCTCCTCCGCCCGCGCACGAGACTATGCAGTAGACCTTGACGAACTACATCAGTTCCTCTGAGAAGAAATGGCCCACGCACAAGAAAGATATCAAGGTCCTGCGGACGCCAAACGGAAACCCGCTCCGGATCTGAAAATCGGAGATCCGGTCTTCGTCAAAGCAAAATACTTCCGTTCCACCCGTCCGTCCAAGAAACTCTCGGAAAAGAACTTAGGTCCGTTCGAAATCATAGCTCGTCCAGGTACGCACTCCTTCACCATCCGACTTCCGGATTCCATGCGCTCCGTACATCCAGTTTTCCATGTCTCGCAATTAGAACCAGCATCCTTGAACACTATTCCTAATCGTATCCAACCACCCCCGCCTCCGATCGAAGTCGACGGAGAACCTGAATATGAGATATCCGAAATCCTAGACTCCAAGTTAGACCGTCGGAGAAGACAATGTCAACTCCTATACCTCATCCGATGGTCCGGATATGAAGGAACAGACGAGGAAACTTCATGGTTGCTTGCAACGGAGCTCGGAAATGCATCCGAACTAGTATCGGACTTCCACTCAGCATATCCGAACAAACCCGGTCCTATTCAACTTTGAAGTACATGATGTGTATACAGATATAAGTACATTTAAGGAAGAAACAGAAACGGACCAGAAAATCCTACATTTCCATAGACCCATCCGCCTCTCCGGATCCGCCATCTTCACTTCCGGACGCCTTATCCATCACTTCATCCTCCGGATCCGGATCCGAAGTCGTCCGAAACCCCTTCCGGATGTGTCCGAACAGCATGGCTTGAAATTCCCTCTGCTGCTGAAGGAACAACTCAATTCTGGAACTCATCCGGTCCGCTGCAGCCCTACTGCCTTCCGCTGCCTGAATGCTCCTCTCCAAAAGTGCGTTCGTCCGAGCCAGTTCCGACACTATATTGTTGGCCGCGGCCACCCAAGCCTGGTCATCGTATTCTCCCTCCATCTCTTCCGGATCTTCCGGAGTTGGACTCTTCTGGCATTTCTTACCTTTGCCCTTCGGAGATGGAGATCCGGCAGCGTGTTTTCTCTTCTTGCCCTTGGACACCTTGACAGTTCCGGGTTGTCCAGGACATGTAGCCTTGTCCTTCCGGCAGATATCGCAAGACTTGATCTATCCGGACGTCAAAAACCCGGATCCGAAATATCCGGACGACTCACCTGAGCATTGCCCTCTGCATCCGTCCAAAGACAAATCTGTCCCCTGTTAGCACAACGCACGCAGGATCCGTCCCTTTCCGCAGACATAGCACGAGTCTTTCCATCCGTTAGAGAAATCCACCATATCCATCTGAAACTCACCATTTCCGCTACTATTTCCTTGCGTCTTTTCTCCTCCGCTGCTACAAGACTCTCAGCCTCCTTAATCTTCCGCAATTCCTCCTGGTGTTTCCGTTCCGCCTCCTGACGTTTCCGATTCTCTTCTTCTTCCATCCGAGCCGCAATTTCCGCGTCCGCTATTTGCTGTTGAAGCTCCAGAAGTTTCTGCTTAGCAGTTTTCTGAGATCCGGAGGTGTTGCCAGACATATCCAATAGAGCGTTATAGAGTGAAAAAGTGGGAAAGGAAGAATCGATCCTGGACATCCGACCTTGTGTATATCTGTCCGATTCCGAACTCAGAAACTCCCCCCATCGACTTCTCCATCATCTCGCATTAATTTCGTCCGGTCCGGACCGATGCTTCTTGTGCCTCTAGGGATCGGCCCTAAGGGGGGGATACTGTCATATCCCATATATTCACGCTTCTCTTCCGGACTTCGGACCCTTAGATCTGGTCCAGTCCGATGCATAGATCCGCGTCCGGTCCGATATCCGATTAGCTTCTTAATTCATTTCCCGTTCATATAACGTTAAACACAGCCTATTCGGTATTTCCTCTTCCCGGTGTCTCGGTTATACTTATTACCGGTATGATTACTGATCCGTTATCTTATGCTTCATTTCCAACTCGCATTTGATAAGCTTTGCATATGCTTCGTACATAGCCTCGGACCTTTGCTTATTGATCCTTCCGTTATCCTCTTAGTATATAAACCCGTGTATATTTCCTGTAGTACCTCAGTTCGAATATCATCTTAGTTTGTCCTCTTTCTGTCCTCCGGACTTGAGTCTAATCAACTCTTGTCGACCTCTGAGACTTCGGATCGATTCCGATAGTCTACGTCTCCGCCTCTATCTTCGGATAGTCCATACTCTGTTTGTTTCTAGTCCGGATCCGTCCGGATTAGTCTTATACGTGTTTCCGATATCCGGAAGTCATCCGGATATAACTACGAGACCCGTCCGGACCTTCGGACGCGTTATCGTTAGTCTCTGAAATAAGGGACAGTACTTGGGAAAGGGGCACAGCATACGAGCTGAGGCCGAAGTCCTTCGGATCCGATCCTACGAGAGTACGACCTTAACACCTAGTCTGGGCGTAATTCGAGACATCACCCAGCAGCGCTTTGGAAAACGGCCATGCCTTTGGCAGATCAAAATCACACAAGCATTCATTGAAGCTAACCGTGACATTGTGTGCATTGCCGGTACATCAATGGGGAAGACTATGACATTTTTGATGCCTTTACTATTCAAACCCAGCCTTCAAATTATCGTGACTCCATTGAACCAGCTTGGGAGACAGAACATTTCGTCACTGGCAAAAGCAGGCTTGCTAAGTATATCGATAAGCTCAGAGACAGCTAGCTGGGCCAATTTTCGTGTGAGAATCTAACAGTTATGCTATGGGAGGACGACTTACTATCATAATGTGGTCTTTTCACACAGGACATCAAAGATATGAAGTATAGGGCCGTCATCGTTAGTCCAGAGCAGCTTATGAAGCCTGGAGGGGAATTTGAGAAACTGCTGCGCAAACCGCTTTTTGCGCAGCAGATTATTGGCGTGGTATTTGATGAAGCACATTGTATCGCAACCTGGGGTGAATTCCGTCCTGAATACAAGGAATTAGAACGTCTCCGTTATATCCTGCCTTGCTACGTCCCTTTCATGCTCGCATCCGCAACGCTCACAGTGGACAATCTCGCACACGTGAAGCGGCTACTCCACATATGCTCAAACAAACTCCTCACGATTCAAACTTCTGTCGATCGTGCAAATATCAAACTCTGCATCTGTAAAATCATGTACTCACTTTCATCATATCAAGACCTCTCGTTTTTAATACCTGACGGCTGGAAGGACGGGAGAACAAGAATGTACGGCTACAAGACAGCGTACCCAGCTACATCCTGTAAGCAGGCAGGATGATGTACATGAGTGGGAGAATGATATTCCTGGGGACGATAGTGACGGTGACAAAGCGGAGGTAGGTGATCAAGAGCTAAGAGGGCAGTTGCAGTCAAAGTTGGAGGGAAAGCCAGGTGGTTCACGGAAGAAGAGGGAATTAGATCCTGCGATGGACTGCTTGATTAATGCTCACCTGCGAGGTACAATTCATTGTCGACGCAAGGTCCTCCATGTTCACTTCAATGACTCATTGGCTGGTAATATATTTTCCAATTGCGGTTGCTTCTATTGACTTGTTGTAATATTATTATGACACAGATCCAGACCATGTTACATGTGACCCATCAAATTCCGACGGCTGCACCCGTTGCGCACCACTCACATCAAGTGTCTGTTGCGACATCCATAATCCCGACTCTCTCTCACATAACAATATATCTTTACCTTCCAAAATCGCCCACCGTTCACACACTGTCAAGTATGAGATGGGGCCACGGGAATTTGAGCTCCGTGATGCTCTGGAAGAATGGCGAGAATTAATAACTAGGAGAGTATACGGTGATTCGGCGCTCAACGACTATGGTCCTGGTGTGACAATGCCGGACTTGGTATTGGACCGTATTGTCGACTGTGCTCACCACCATAAAATTTCTACTACCGATGACCTACGTAAGGAAACAAAGTGGTCTGCAGCGGACCGCTTTGGTAGTGATGTCATAGCTATCGTTCAGCGCATCATACCAGTTCCCGTGCTCATACCTGTTTTCACTACTGCCACGCGTCCACGACAAAATCTCCCATCTACTTCTCAATCCAATCAACCGGTCGTCGCTCGAAAACAACCCAGATGTAGCGCGTGTGGCATAGAGGGACATACCAGTAAGTTGTTTTCACATTCTGGCAGCAGTGGCTCACATCAATCACGACAGAGCGCAGCCGTATTTGTTCAATGAACCCGTCTCGTATTGCGTCAAGCTCGCAAACCACCGACAATAAGGAAAATGTATGTTGAATTGGCCGTGCTGGATGTTTGTGCTCATACATGATAACAGATACCTCAAGCAACTTCCAATGCATCCTCGTCTAACCCAACCCCAAGTCTTTATCACAATCCCAGCTCTACTGCTACGTCCTCTAATGTTGAATGCTCCTCTAATGTTCCCCCCTCTTCTATTCCAGCATCCAAACATTGTTTATCTATTAATTCGAGACCTTTACTGTAGAGATCGGGAATAAAGTGTTTGCTTTTTTGTCCGAGCACCGGTTCATGCGGGGAGTGCTGTGCTATGTACCTACAGAGCTCGTTGAACGTCCGCGTCATGTCAACGATAGCGTGTCGAGTTGTGAGGTGTGAATGCAAGAAATTTTCTTCAAAAACCCGTTGTAAGTTACGATAAACCTGTACAAGGGGGGATTCCAAGATTATATGGTCTATGGTGCGATTAGGGCCCTTGCCGCCATGAATAACCTAGACGTGATTAGCCAATGTATTCCAGTGGTATACTAGTAGAAATAAGTCACCTTTGTATACAAGTTATTTAATTCCATGCACCAGTCAACGGCTCGGAAGCTGCCTGCCTTTCCCGATGGGTTCACAAGAATATGATATCGAATGGCTCTCCTAAGCCATAATTTGAATCAGCTCGTGTTTTGACCAAAAAAGATACAACCTCACCGCAAGCAATCTGGGTATACAAAGTGAACATTGGATAGAAAATCTGACATGTGCATCGCATATTTATGCTTCCCGGTTGCCTTAAATATCAGGATCCATGCAACAATGCACGTTTCCACTCGCCCAATATCCCCAATATTCATAGCATATGAAAGTTCCTCGTATAGTAGCATGTACTTGTTGAGGAGCAGCGTGTTTTCATATTCTCCATCACGCTGAGTGACATCTTTTGATCTCATCCGCCGAGTCTGTGATCAGCAACATACTCCTTTGCAATTACATCTGCCATCGCAAGTAGATCATCAAATAGCGGCTCTGACGCTGCAAAGGAATCCAAGTCCACATGTGAGGAAACACGTTTTTTTACCTCAACTCTCCAACAATCAAGGCGCCGGCAGATACCAGAATAGGTGATGAGCTGGTGCATTCTATGAAACCCAGGCTTCGAGCCATATATACCTGTTTCTTTAGGTCGAAGAATCCCAACATCCCGCATCAACACGTTCTCATCTAGTCGCGCCGAGGAATGCTGCAAGAAGGTGCGCCAGATGGCATCTGCGCTCACCATCTTCAAATGAAATAAACCTGGAATAAAGATGACGTGCTGGAGGCAATTTCAAGGTGTGTTTTCAATTGCGCGTCGCTGGAGTGCTGCTTGGAGTCGTTCGCCTGTGCCAAGGTCGCCGTGGAATAGCGTGATGTACTCTGATACATCTAGTCCTTGCAGGGGGTCACATTCTGCCGGATCTTCAATATCTCCCTGCTTCAATAACTCAAGTACTGAGTTGATGTTCCCAGATACCGTTGAATTACTGATATCCATCGCTCGTGAGGCTAGAATCTTTGTTTTGGCCACGGGGATCATTTCTACTGACTCCAGATGTCCCAGGTGGTCCTTGAATTGACGGAAGTATGTAGGCCCATACTCAATTAAGTCAGAAAGGATCTTCCAGGAGTTGAAGCGGTCTCGTCGTGACAGACCAGCTTCATTTAAGTGGTCTGGATGTATGGTAAGGAGATCCTTCCATCCTTTCTTGGTTGCTGTGTCTGTTGAATCCACTTGCGGGTTGAGTAGCGATCTTTCCCACAAGGCTTTCGAGCAATGCAAGTTGTCGAGAGTAGTACCATGCTGTAGCGGAAAAAGGAGGCCAGCGGTAAGATGTTTGAGCGTATCTTCTGACTTGTCAACTGTATGAACAGTCGATTTAAGGTCCACATCAAAATTATCGTATGCATAGGATGCAAGAAGGGTCCGCCCCAGAGCAGAAATGCCATGGTGAGCCTCCTTTGACAACAACGTGACGGCTGTATTGATCAAATCAATGGAGACACAGATTCCCATCTGTGATAGTGTCTCTATGACCTTTTGAGGTGCGTGTGCGGACTGCAGAAAGATACCAAAGATGCTTTGAAACATGTTTGATTTTTGGTTTGCAGTTTGCATAATTATGTTGAAAATAACGACCTTTTTCTAGTAGAGGAGTAAGTCCCCCATTTTCATGCACATTTAATGTCACTCACGATCATCACCAATTTATTATGACGCGCCGTTATCTTTTTCTGTCTCGCTGACGCATCGGCCGAAACTCCCATTGACCCATCCAATTCTCTGTCACCAAATGCTTCCCAATAGACATCGTCTTCATCACTATCTTCCGGACCTTTGGTGCTTACTGCTACACCAACAGACTTCTTTCCCGCGAATAGCAGCTTATCTAACAGACCCCACAGTTTTGGTGCGAGCCGCTGCATGCCTCTCCCAAGCAGATCCATATTAAATTCCTCTAGTTGTTCTACAGAGGTGTGTGACACAGCAAAATGAGAGCCGTGTTTCTTTGCTGACAGATCAACAATCTCCCGCATATATACATTGCTCATGATGCCGCTTGCCCACTCCTGTGTCGTTTGTGAGTTCCTCACAAGAAGCTCCATGATGCGATGACCATTGGTCAGAAGATTGACCACTATTTCGTTGTTTGAATAAATATTATTGGACAGTATTTCGTTCAGGAATTGCGAGAGTGAGATGCCGATGATATTGAACGCTTCTGTGATTGCATCTATCTGATCTCCGAGGCGCATCTCCAAGGCAGATGGAAATAATAACTATATATATTTTAATTAACGTACATATACCTACTTGATTTTCAGTTTTTTTCAATTGCCGTAGGTTTTTGCCGCTGTGGCTGAGACTGTTTACAAATGTTTTCTTCCAGCCGCTGCTGGAGAGGTTGAGGAATAAGGTTGGGCTGGGTTTAAATTTTCACGCTGATGTAACATAACATAGATGTAATAGCACTCCGTCCTCTAACCTCTCCGGCTGCGGATGGGTAGGAGCCTGGTGTTTGACATGCATTAGGAATTAGCTGAATATGTGCTCAGTGCAAGGCTGAGTGCTACAGTGCCTTTGATGTTGTTCCAATGAGCTCCTAAGACATTCTAATAGGTTTGGATCTCCCAATATGTTCCTTTGAGCTAGTATAGAGGTTAGTAGAATAGAACTTAGAGGATTTCAATGCACTTACTGAGTTCCATTTATTTCTACAGTGTTTATTTGTCTTTGGAGGGCCTGCAGTTAGTAGATTGTCTATCGCAAGGGCAGTTGCTACTAAAGTAAAGGTAGAGCTCTTGAAATTTCTATCATCCATAGCCTTAGAGATATTCTTGAGCAGATGAGCGAGAAGAGCATTGATCTCTGCTACATTCCACTGTGCCTTTGGTTTACCTAAAGTAGTGGTAGATGTGTTGGTGACCATAAGAATAATAGTGAATTAGCCACAGGTGGATATGACAGTAACAACTACTGAATAGAGCACTGAATAGTAGTGAATTAGCCACAGATGGATATGACAGTAACAACTACTGAATAGAGCACTGAATAGTAGTGAATTAGCCACAGATGGATATGACAGTAACAACTACTGAATAGAGCACCTTGTGAAGGTGAGGATCAATTCAGTCTGTCTTTTTGTGCTAGTCAGTAGGCAAGGAAGGTTTGAGCTCCACTTGATTGTCACCTGGCTGAGGGAACATTCCAACACAATTTACTTTGCTCTAGATGCAGATGTTGGCAAATATGCTCCAACATTGAGTTGCTGAACTGACTCTTAGTGAGTTATAAACAAAATACTCAAAAGTAGACAGTTCAAGACAGCACCTTGACTGTGGGAACTTTTCCAATAAAATCTCAAGTTGTAGCCCTTGTCAAATGAATTTAATAATAGACATTATATTTATTCAAGTTGTTAAAGCTGGGAATAAAATGAGTGATTGATATAGAGTTCTATAGAGAGCACTATAGCTGCTAAAGCTGTTGTAGTTGGGCCCTTTTGGGGCCCTATCTATAAAGCTCTCTAGAGCAAAACAGTTTTTCCTAATGTATCAGAAACATTGTCCATGAATATGATGAGGGGAACTGTATATATCTTGTAACTATTTGTCTTTTTGCATATTGGATTTGGCAAAAGTGACACATATTTGGTTGATGAGGCTATTACCATGTGAATCCTGTGATTGTCAATACAGATGGACACATAACACACCTGTAAGCCCATAATCAAGTTCACCCTATGTTGCAGCTATGTCTTCAAATGACTGTACAAATGTGGACATAGGAATAATCTTTTGTTTGTCATGAACAATAAATCTGGCCTGTCATTTGAGTAGTTAGAATATTATATGTTAGGATAGATACATGACAATCACATATCTCTGTTTATTTAACTGCCTAACCAAGTGCATATAAGGGCTTTGCATCTGCATGCTTATGAAATTCAATTTCATCATCATCATCTGCAAGAGGTGAGGCATAAAAAAAAAGCACTCTGGAATGAAGTAGTCTCCAGAGTTATCCTGTAGTAGTTCATTTGTGAAGTAAATTGTTCCATTTACTTGAACTGCTAGTGGTGATGGAAGATTAAGCAACATCTTCTTCCTATTGAAGACTTGTGACATCTCCTCACCACCATTATTAAGGTAGTCTTTCATTGCAAACCAAGTAAGTGGATTTGTGTAGTTCTAAATTTAATGTCACTACTGCACTCATGTGAGAGACATATTAGATGCACCTTTGTGATTGCTTCTGCAATGTTGTTGATATAAAATACATCACTAGCATGAGATGTGACTTGCTAAGTCAGATTGCTAACAAGATTACCTAGGTATGTGTGGCACTTTTTTATCAAACCTAGTGAGAGAATATTTTGAGTGCCAAGATCTCTGGCCCAATTGAGTATGGCTTTCTTCTAGATCTCAGAGAATGGGAGATATAGAGAGCTAAAAAGAAGAAATGTAAAAAAGTACTTGACAGGAATGTAAGTATTAGGTTGTGATGCAGATACAATAGAAACATATCACTTTTGATGGTCATAAATATATTGGGTTATTTATTGAGACCGTATCAAAGTTTGCACTCACCTTAGTATAGATATTATCTGGTAATGTCACTGAATATATGGTCCTGTAAAATAAATAGTGATGTTACTTGCCAGTAAGCTCAACTAAAAAATTGAAAGCACTGTCATTGAAGAGCTTATGCTCCTTATTAGAGGACCAGGAAAGTGGAGTCAAGAATGGTAATTCACCCAATGCAAGGGTTGCTTGAAGTTTAGTGATTAAGTCTGGATATTCTCCTTCAAACTCAAAAATGTGATGGTCAATTATCTTTTTCATGAACTCTGACAATTTATTAGAGTCCACATCATCTGACACCATAACAGGTACTGCAGGTGGTGGTATACCAGACTGCACACCAGCAAGTGACACATCAGAAGTGTTGTCTATATTCATGAAAGAGTTGTCAGTATTGAAAGAGATATCAGTGTTGACAGCAGTTAGTAGTGATTTAGACTCCATGTGAATAATATTGGCATCTTTCTTGCCCTGGACTGAATGTGAAAGTCTCATCCTTGTCTGTTGCTCTATGAAGTATCTAATGTAATGAATATGAATTCCTTGTAAAGTGTGCTTCTTGACATATTGCAGTTTCATTGTATGATAGATACTAGTGAGTATATGGTCTTTGCAATTTCTTTTGAAAATTTACATTGTACAGTCAGTCTGTAGTTATGGCCATGATGATTTTTATGAGCTCTCAGATGTCATTCTTATTCTGTTCCTGCCCCTTCAACACTTTGACTACTCTGACCAGGCCAAATGGGTCTCTGTCATATCCTGTATTCCGGACCTACATCCGACAATATTCCCACACCTCATCCGGACCTCCGGACCTCCTGTCCATGTCTCCAGACCCAATCCTCTATCTGTCCGGATCCCTGTACTCCTGCATCTGATATCCGGACACCAGATCTGATATCCACATCTCCGGATCTCCGGATCCGACCTATCTGTCATGTCTGAACTCAAACCTTAAATCAGCGCCCATCCCCTTATGGTAATCACCTGTCTCCGGACTTCCGAACATCCGGATCTGACCCGCATCTATCTTCTGTGCCTTTTCCCTTTGTATGTTCCTTCTCAAGTTAGACTATACTCATTTTCCGTACCTCATTTCATCTCTGAGTTCATTTCCTATGATCCGTCTTATTTTCTAATACATTTCCACATGCTCATACATAGCCTTACCCCTCTGCTTACTGATCTGCACAGACTTGCCTCTAGTATATAAACCCCAATAGATACTCCTGTATTTCCTCAGTCTGAATATTACACATATTAGTCCTTGCACTAGTCTTCACACTAAGTCCTCGTAACAGTTCTAGTCCTCCGACTTAGTCATTATCCATCTCAGGCCTAGGGAGGAATTCCCTAGGCCGGAGCTCCGATCCTCCACTCCTCCACTCCTCCCATCCTCCCATCCACCATTCCTCCAAGTTTCCGGAAGTTCCTCTGGAACTTTCCCACGGTCCTCCGGACCTATTCTGCTTCAGACTTTGTCCTTGCAGCCTTTCCTCTGTTTGCTTCTACTCAGGACTTGTCCTGAGTAGCCATTATACATATCCCTGTCAGGACGAAACTCCATTGTAATTTCCAGAAGTTCCTCCGGAACTTTCCCGCACTCATCCAGAAGTTTCTCGCACTCGTCCGGAAAGTCCTTCCAAAGTTTCCCACGCTCCTCCGGAAGTCCTTTGGACTTCACTGGACTTTCTCTGGACTTCATTCTGAAGTTAAGGGCACATACTCAGGTAAGGGGCGCAGCGCACGAGCTGAAGCCAAGCCCCTTGGAATCAGTCCTACCCTTTGTGCACGGTCTTAACAGTCTCTCAGATGAAGGATATTTATTGGTGCATATGTTATGTATATACTATAGTACAGTGCTTATCTGCAATGCATACCTTGTTGTACTCTTTTAATTGACCTGATCATACCACCAGGACACTTCAAAGAGATTGATGGAATCACCTGTCTGTCAATATTTAATAGTGTGCAGAGGAATTAACAGTGAATGTCACATATAGAGGTCACTCATATATTAGTACGAGCTCTGTCATAGGTCTGCCATAGGTATGGCCCCCAACCTGTATCATATGACTCATTCTGATGTATCTGACATATGTGATTGCCAGCCTTGCTGTCATATCCCGCGTTCCAGACCCGGACCAATTACACAATCATTGCCGGACTTCCGGATCCGGTCAGCTCCTATCTTCTGTGCCTTTTCCCTTTGGTATTTCCCTTATCAGTTAGTATGCTTCATTTTCCATCCCTTATTCATTTCCATCTTCATTTTACTAAGTTCCGATAGACTAGTGATAGTCGTCCCACATGCTCTGTCCATAGCCTTGCATAGCCTCGCACTGCACTGACTGTTTCTCCGTTATGTCCTCAGTAGTATATAAACCCTGTACAGTCTCTGTAGTTCCTTAGTTCGAATATTATCTTAGACTCTGCTCAATCCCTCCTCCGTCCAACTTGAGTCT